AATGGCCACTTGGAAGTGGTGCGGGTGTTGCTCGAGGCAGGAGCTGACCAGAACACAACAGATCAAGATGGGACAACCGCCTTGATGGTTGCAGCTCTGACTGGCCACTTGGAAGTGGTGCGGTTGTTGCTCGAGGCTGGCGCTGACCAGAACACGGCAAATCGAGACCGTCAAGACGGGGCAACCGCCTTGATCCTTGCAGCTCAGAATGGCCACTTGGAAGTGGTGCGGGTGTTGCTCGAGGCTGGAGCTGACCAGAATGCAGCAACTCAAGACGGGACAACCGCCTTGATGGTTGCAGCTCTGGATGGCCACTTGGAAGTGGTGCGGTTGTTGCTCGAGGCTGGAGCTGACCAGAACACAGCAAATCGAGGCCGTCAAGACGGAGCAACCGCCTTGATCCTTGCAGCTCAGAATGGCCACTTGGAAGTGGTGCGGGCGTTGTTCGAGGCTGGAGCTGACCCGAAGGCAGCAACTCAAGGGGGGGCAACCGCCTTGATGGTTGCAGCTCAGAATGGCCACTTGGAAGTGGCGTGGGTGTTGCTCGAGGCTGGAGCTGACCAGAATGCAGCAACTCAAGCCGGGACAACCGCCTTGATGGCAGCAGCTGACAATGGCCACTTGGAAGTGGTGCGGGTGTTGCTCGAGGCTGGAGCTGACCAGAACACAACAGATCAAGATGGGACAACCGCCTTGATGGTTGCAGCTCTGAATGGCCACTTGGAAGTGGTGCGGTTGTTGCTCGAGGCTGGAGCTGACCAGAACACAGCAAATCGAGACCGTCAAGACGGGGCAACCGCCTTGATCCTTTCAGCTCAGAATGGCCACTTGGAAGTGGTGCGGGTGTTGCTTGAGGCTAGAGCTGACCCGAAGGCAGCAGCTCAGGGGGGGGCAACCGCCTTGATCGTTTCAGCTCAGAATGGCCACTTAGAAGTGGTGCGGGTGTTGCTCGAGGCTGGAGCTGACCAGAACGCAGCAATGCAAGATGGGACTACCGCCTTGATCGTTTCAGCTCAGAATGGCCACCCGGCAGTGCAGCAGCTGTTGCTCGCTGGAGATCGCACCTTCCGCACGGGGAGACTCCGCAGTGAGACTCCTCCAGATCCGGGTCGTGATCGACCGGACCGCTCGCGATCGCGATAGACCAAAGGACTCCTGCGCCCGCCGGTCGTGACGGTCGTGTGTGTGCGTGTGTGTGTGTGTGTGTGTGTGTGTCAGAGATGTACTGGGAGACTGGCTTCACTGGGATTGATCATATCCAAAGACAACGAATTGTATTTAATTGCACAAAACACAGCATAAAACGATTGGACGGAGAAACATGTCAGAGCACATATGCATTCACCACGACAGATCCAGTAGTGGTTCTTTTTATGTTTTTCGGCTTCGGCTGACTTTCACCTATCGCCGGTTGGAGCCGTGTTTCGTTTTGTGCCTCGAATTGTTTAGAGTTTATAGAGGCACACATACTCCGAGCTGGTTTGGCAGGTCTGTGCTCCAGCACCGTGCTGGCAGAGTCAGATCTGTTGGGAACGCTATAGTTTCGGCGCCCGACGACTCGACCGATCTCTGAGAGACCGACGAGGTGCAGGGTGTCGGCTGACAGACTGACCGACGCCTTGGCAGATGGTGACCGGTTGGAGGGCACTTTGGGTCCTGTGATTTTGTGTACCCATAGCCTTCCATGATCATTAAACAAATGATTGAGTTGCCTTTTTGTAGTCTAAACTCCGCTGTAAAACAATCTTTTTTTCCAGGAAACACCATTGAAATAATGATGGTTCTGCAGAAGCCCAGGGTGTGAAAGTTGATCTGGCAAGTTCAAGGTTCAAGGTTCTTTCGAGAGCTGATTCTTGCTGCTGAAGAAGCTGGGTAGAGACGGTAGAGAACAGTGCATTGCCTTGTTGAATGTGGATTCGATACCATGGGCAGTGCAATAGGTCTCCAGCAACCCGGCGCCGAGATGCCTTTGCCAAAGTTCCCTGGAGATGAAAGACTGAGTTGCTCCTTCACCTAGTTCCACATCCGAACTGATTGGTGATCCTTCCGCCATAAAGATCAGGGGCATTGCTTGTTGAGGTTCCAGTCTCCCCGCACATCGCTTCGAAAAGATAACCAACCACCGGAGCCGACTGATACATTGACATGAATCCTCTACAGAGCACAAATCAGAAAGGTATAGTGGTTTGGCAGAAACTGGAGAACAAAGCCCATTCCAGCAGAAGCCGGGCAGAAGGCGTGAATCTCGGGAAGCACCCTCACCACGCGCCGGCAAACCTCGCAACAGAGCGCAGAATCCAAAGAGGTGCCAAAAGAAGCAGAGGATGTTGCACCGTGGCGTTTGTGGCGTTTCTTCCTTTCGGTTCTTCGGGGCCACACTGAGGCCAGAGGATACCATCATGCGCTGTAAGATGTTGAACTCTGCCACTGAGCTGACTAGTCTGTGTGTTGAGGGTGGCTGGAAAAGGCTGGGAACGGTTGGTGTTGAGGGTAGGTGTTGAGGTCAGATGTTCGTTGGCTGCGATGTGGATCCACTAGGTGGACCTCTAGGTTTGTCGGGGGCTGTATGGATCCTACTGCCACCTCAGCTTCGTATGACTGGGCCCTCCAAAGCTACAGCAGAAATGGTCTCCCATCACCGTACCTCAGGTTCAGAGGCAGTGGATCCATAGGGATGAGTTTTCAAAGAGCTAAACCGCCGATGGCAGTAAAGCTTGCTGACGTCGTCGGATGTCCAAGGTTTTTCATCCTGAAAACGGTATCGTGAGTTCTTGGAACGACTAGCCAGGCCAGGAACGATGTGAGTGCTAGCTAGGATGGTGGAGGTACTTTTCACCGTGAAACTGTGGTGGTTCTCCTCTCCTCTTCGTTGCTCTCCTATGTTGTCCCAGGCATCTGGGCATCGGGCTCGAAAGCGTATGGCCATTGTTGCCCAAAGACTTTGAGGGTGTGTCATATGACCAGTAACCATGGGTACCGGGTAAAGGATGATCATGGATTATCAATGATGATCACTATATAATCTATATATATATAGTATATAGTCTAATAATGGAGTTATCCCGGCATTCCTTGGTCAGCCTGCGAGTCGGTGCGTCCCTGCGTGTCCAGAAAAGATGGAAGAGAGGTTCTTTTGCAGGGGTGCGTTGCTCCAGACATGCGCAAGCATGACAGTTATAATGATTCTGATAGGCTTATATAGGTGTTAGATTGTCGACAGGGACCCTAGAGTCGGCTAGAGGGACCGGACGGAGCGGGAGAAGCAAGGACGTTGGGGGCGTCCTTCGAGGAGATCGTCGGACTCAGTTTTTCCAATCACGGGAGTCGTCCGCGGTGGGCTTCAGCGGGGTCGGAGGACGTTGGGAACTCGATCCGCTTTCCATGGAGTGAAGCAAGAAGTGGAGTGAAGCAGTTTCCATCGCGCTTGGGCTAGCTACCGTCGTTTCCTCAAAACCCAGTGGGTCCGGGTCTGGGAATCTGAGGCGGGCGAGTGCTACATGGTCCATGGCGACTTCTGTAGCACCTGGGAGGCGAGTCCGCAGTCGACCCTTTGGATGCACCGCCCCTTTTGTCTTATTTTGAGTAAGTGCATCCCTACTAGCTAGCTAGAAGCTAACTAGTAGCTTTTTCACTTACTACTAGTAGTCCTGCCGTAGCTTCCTATGGGATCCAAAGGGTTTTACCCATCTCCACTCGATCAGAGAAATCGCCTGGTTGGCGGGCTGAGGCCTCCCAGTACTCCTATGATAAGGCCATCGCATTGCAGGAAGAGTCCTATGGTCTATATCTGCAGGTGCCGCGCCTGTTCTGCGCCGAACGAGGAAACCTGGTGGAACATGAAGTGCTTTCGGAAGCGCTGGGTTTCACCAAATCCTGGTGGTTTCACCGCAATGGATGTCCATGGTCCATGGTTCTGTCATGGAGCGGGCCACTCACACTGTTAACGTCAACTGCTTCAGGCGTATTAAGATGCCGGTTCAATGCACCAAGACGTCTCCTCAAACGATGCTGGAACCTTGCTGGATCAAGAAACGGCAAGAGGAAGAAAACATGCTATGATTGTTCTATTCAGCTCCAGCTTTTCACCTGGGTGCACAGGGTGACTTGACATACCATACCTATAGAACTGCTATGAACTGCTTGGACCTGGCTCTATGAACATGTTTGGTGTCGCCTGCGAAAGAAAACAACTCCAACAAGCGCCATAAAATGGTGGGCGAAAGAAAGATGCCGAACCGACCACTGATTAGACCAAGCCGAACCAACGTGGGCCAACAGAAGAAGGCGGAATCAAAGGCGAATGGACCTTCTAACAATTTCTTCGTTGCTTTGCAGAACACTCTTGGCCCAGGTTTTGTAATTGGAAGACTAGCAACATAGACAATCATGCCTGACTAGTCACTGATTGTTTGGTGCTTTGTTTTGCCCAGGTGCTGGGTCCCAAGAAGCCGTTGACGGGTTGGGCGATGGAGGATTTGGCCCAAGCATATCAGAGGTGCGCGGGTGCCCAGCGAACGTGTTTCCGGACGGGTGAGAGAGGTGGCCGCTCAGTTGGCGCCGTTGCCGTAGGTTGCCCGGTTTGGGTTGGGAGATGCAGGTCGAAGATCATGGATGTTGAGAGTAACATGGATGTTTGGACCATGAAGATGTGATGGGCTGATGCAACGTGGTGAATGCATCTCCCCTTGCAGGGTGTCGGCTTTTGAAGTGTTTGCCAACCTGCGCTCAGTATAGCCCTCCAAAAAGGTAGCCTGACAACTTGGTCTACGTTTCACCCAGAGCAAGAGAGGTCTTCAGTGGCCGGGCCCGTCACCGTGCCCGTCACCTGACCCAGAACACCTGGGGTACCCAACTGGGATCATCGAACAGTTCGGCCCAAAGGCGATTCGAGAACGAGTGAAGCGGAAGGAACTCACACAACGAGCAGGGTCTTCCCCGGATCAAACCACGTGTGGGAACCCCCACCTGAAAGAAGGTGAAAAAAGACAGAGTTTGAGGCCGGTTTTCTCATACACCACGTTTGATCGCAAAAAGGTCCCATGTTGTAAGACACGGCGTTTGTAGGTGTTTGAATCTGTTGGTTTTCACGTCCGAGTGGAATTATACACAACTCTGTTACCGTAAAGAGGAGGAGGCTTGTAGTAATCAAAGAACTATTGACCATCCGCATGGTGACAATGCCTCAATTTGGGCATTTAGACACGGGTGATTTTTGGCTGTTTACTTTCAGCTTCAGTAAAAGCATGTAATAGCCTTCTACTCGAGGCAGTGGTTTGTCCGGGTTTGTCATTGTCTACGCATGCTGTTGGTTGGTTGTTGTGCCCTTCCAAAGCCACAATTAGCCTGCTGGACGCCTCAAAATGTCTATCCACCAAGGAGTTTATGATCACCCTATATAAGATTACAGGTTGTTGCCTCATCCACTTGGAAGAGGAGAATGGCCTGCCCCCTCAATTGAACTGTTTGTTTGAAGTGCCCTTCAATTTCCGAATTCCAATCTGGGTGAGTCGTGAGTTGTGAATGCATGAAGTTTTGCACATAGCATGCAGCATGCCTCCATGTGTCGGTCCCAGCTTGACTTCGCTGTTCCGCAGATTTGTGGATCGCTTAGACCCGTCCCGTTGCAGTCCAGCTTCCCGTGCGCAGCGCTGCGGCGTCAGCTTCGAAAAATGGAGGCCACATGGGCGTTGATTGTGATGCTCCTCTTGATGTTGGGACTCTTCCTCATCGTGGCCTTCTTCGCCATCGGCATGCGCGATCGGCGCATCGTCCTGGATGGCGGTGAGCGTTTGCGGACGCGTGAGTCTTCGTCTGTGAAGATGGAGAAGGCGCAGAAGGAGGGCGCCTTACGAGTTGAAGAGGTGTCCGAGATGAAAATCGTGGAAGAGGGGATGCTGGGCCGCAGACCTGTCACTTCTTTTTTGTCTAAGTTCATCCAGTTCATGTACCTGCCATGAAGCAGGGTTGAGCGTTGTCCTTCGGAATCAAATCGTATCAGCGGGACATAGTGGGGCAGGTTGCTGTGTGATGAGGTTTGCCATGTTCTGCCCATCCCAGACATGTCCTGGCTTCGAAAGAGAACGGAAAACCATTGGAATCCATTTGGAACACCGTGGATGACTTCCCCAACCGGCCCTCTGGTGTCGGACGCAGCGGTACGACCGGTTCCAGGAAGACCTGCGCAATCTGCCTGGAACCCTTGGAGGTGGGCACAACTGCACGGAAGCTCCACTGCGGGCATCCCTTTCATGCCGACTGCCACCCGGCGTTTCGTGTTTTTTTGTGGTCAATTGTTGTTCTGGCGGTGCGGATGTTGATGAGCCGAAGGACGTCGATATTCGAAGCCCTTTTTCATATCGATTCGGAAGAATCTTGAGGCCTTTTTAGTGTAGAAAGATCTTATCCCTAGGGATCCAAGTACCTTCTCAGAAGGTACTTGGATCCCTAGAGTATAAGTCTCAACTTCTAACTGAAAATAACATGGAAGTGAAACATATGTTTAAATTCTTCCATATGTTTAAATTATTCCTTTTGGGCCCATGCCAGCCACGTCACCATGTGAGTTCCAGGGAGTCTATGAACTTCGATGATGTTCGACCTTTCTCCATCTTTCTCCTCTCCCTTCTTCGTGAAAACACACATAAAGCAAAAGAAAAAGCTCCCAGCTGGGTTCGCTTCTGGTGATGTTTCTCTACCTTCGGATGTCTGAACAAAAGGCCCGTTCGGGGCGATGGCACCATGTTCTGAGCGCCATTTGGTTTCTTCCGGGGCACCCGGTTTCCATGGTGTTTTTGGCCGAGATCGACTCGAACCCGACTCGACTGTTCATGTGGGAGGTTTTGGCAGGGTGTTTTCTTCCGGCCTGCGGGTGCATAACAAGGCATGGAAGACACCCAGTTGTTTTCCAAATGAAGATGAATCCTGCAAGTCTTTTTCAGGGATCTGACTAAGATGAGAAGCACCTGGCTCCAATCTTACTTTGCAACAGATCCTGTGCAAGAACCAGTCATGGGCTCCTGATTGGATTGCTCTACCACGGTGTCTTCTAATCCAAAGAATCTGTACTGTACGGGCTAGACCCATGGTCGGACACCGACACAGACAGCGACACCGATGAGTTTTGGGTGTGAGTCGTCCTCCTTTCCCAAGCCTCTTAAAGCCGCAAGCGGCTTCAGGACGGATTGGCCTTCAAGTCCTCTGGTTCCGTTCTGCCTTCCTCGAAGCCCAAGGTTTGACCTCTTGGTGGTCCAGGTGCATCAAATCTGAGAACGACACGAGGTGCCCCCTGTGCCGCGAATCCTCGCCCTTCCACCCCAATCCTCGCCCATCCCCAGCGGTGGGCGCGCCAGCCAGCGCCTTGGTGGACCTCGGTGGCGAGGAGCTGATCGAAGAGCCGATCGAAGAGCTGCAAACCATTTAGCCCAGCACCGAGCCTCTCGCGTCTCTGGCGCGAGAGGCTCCGCATTGGGATGAGAGCCGCGGGCTCGCAGCGGAGGCTTTGCCTCGGCGCGACGAGCCTTTCGTCGCGACGAGCGGCGGATTCGCCGTTGGTTGGTTTCTCGTGACCAGCGGAAGAACTCCAGATGCGTCCAGGTGTTTTGGTAGTGGTGCATTCAAAAAAAGCAGACCCATGTGACGTAGGAGGAGCATGACCCGTGAGAAAGGGACATCCACGATTGTCATGGCATATAAACTGATTGGGCGGCAGTTTTCTGAACAACATGTGCTGGAAGCCAATGTGGTTTGTGTTGTGTCCGTTCGTTGACCAGAATAGACAAAAGGAAACTCATTAACTGAACATGTGCTTGAATCGTCTTGAATTTGGCCAGCGCATGATGAACACATGATGTGGGTTTCAGAATTGTGTTGGAACGTGAATGGAGTTCGACAGGGCGAGCATGCCCGGCACATGATGATGCGGAGTTCGATGGATGGATGAATCTCATGGAACTTGTACCCATATTTATTGGTTGCGTTTGTCCTTATTACCTGAAAGAGTTGGAACATGTATAATCACTATTTTGGAGAAAGGACTTCACTAACCATAATCCACCCCAAATATTGGTGTTCAAATAATCTAGATGTGGCAATTTCGGTCAGTGTACAAATCTGAAGAGAAGGACCTTTTTGGTATGGCATTTGCTTCACCCCGAACAAAATCCATGTCCCAGACTCCCAGACGTTGATTTACCACGCAGTGTTTTTGGCACCATATTCAGGCCGTGCTTTTGTGTTTCAGACCAGGGGGAAGTCCAGACGCTTGCTCTTCTAGCTCCTGCTTTGAGTGGGGAATTTCGGACAGCCAGCATATTGGACGACGAAATCGTTGAAACATCCCTTCCCCCAATTAATTGTCGCCAGACTGGCCTTTGTAGGTACGACCAGTGACTTAAGTCACACACCAGTGTAGGTATACAGACGAGAACTCACACGTTCAGGGTGTCCAAGCATGAAGAAGGCATTCTCTTCTTCGTTAGATATAACATATATAGAATAATACAACGAAGAAACATAAGGTATACCGGGCCTATATACATATTATATCGGTATATACCTATATTCTGCTTCTTTTTCATTTTACGTGTCCCTATTATGTACAACATGGTAAAACCATAGAGCTGAGCTCGTTCGTTCGCAGATGAGTCGGACCTGCGGGTCGAAGGTTGGCAGATGAAGGAGACGTGACTACTTATTTATAATGTATATATATACACATAGAACCCATTTGACCTACAGGAAAAGACCATGTTTTGGCTCCAACACAGGCGTCACGTATGGGTTCTAGGTGTATATATATACATATCCAAGAGTCATAGCAACACTGACAACATTCACCACAGCCCAACGACTATTCACCACTGGAACCTGGGTCGCAGGTTCCAAGAATCACCCCGAAATCGATCCCTTTTTTCTGATCGAGAAAGACCATACCGAAGAACTTCGCAAGTGTCAAGTGGAGTAGTTCAAACCTGTGTGGCCAAACACGGGAACCCTTCAACATCTTAATATGTGTGTGGTTGGATGATGTTTGATGTACCGTATTGGTAACAGAACTTCAGCAGTGTGTCTGCGTGTCCTTCAGCAGTGTGTCTGCGTGTCCTAAAGTTCGGTCATACTTCCAAATAGACAAACAAGATCATGATGAACGAACTTTAGGACACGCAGATCATGATGAAGGACACGTTCATCTTCCAAATGTCATAAACAAGATCATGATGAATTCACAAAAGATCACCTTCTTTCGCGTTCGAATGTTCGCCTGTCCGTGTCCGTGATGTCTTGGATTCTTCTCCCTTCGAACCCGCCAAGCCACGGCAGAGAGCCACGGCAGAAGTTCCGAGCCACGATGGATATACAGAGGACGACTGCAACCGCTGAAGCTCGGCAAGCTGCCTCCCTGTGTCCCTGTGTTGTTTCCTGATCCAGTCGATTCGATTTGGGCTTTCCATGAATGATCAGGTTTGAGGTCTTCAGTATATATACCAGCGGCCCCTC